GCACTAAGTGTCAGCACAGACTTCCCCTCGGGTAAACAGGCAGAGCGGCCCCAGGTGTGGTCTACCTCGCTCTACCGCATGCATGAGCACCGCTTCTCAGTGCTGGCTCTGCACGGGTATGCGCACACTGTCAGTGAAGAGGGCTTTCTCTCCAATGCCATTGCTTCATAATCTTAAGAGGGGCTGCTCCTAGCAAAAACAAGCGTTCAAGTGTTCACTGCTGGGATTACACAGCAGAGCGTCCTAGGCTAAGGAAGAGATTCCCACTTACTGTAATGACAGCGAGAGAACTGAAGGCTACAGCACACCGTGATGGGCTTTGGACAGCTGAAAGAATTTAACAGGAGATGGGGGGGGTAGGAAAGCAGAGCATGGAACTATGAAGACGCACACGAAGAGTCAGTGCAGACAGAACGGAAAGCAGGAAGGTAAACTGCAGTCAAACCAAGGAACCCCAACTCACCTATTCAGAAATCCACTTTCTCCTGCAAGAAAATGCAACCCTCTATGGCAGGGTCCTCAAGCCTCCTAGGCTGTGACCCTGTAATACAGTTCCTCATGTCACAGGGACCCCAACCACAAAATAACTTCATTGCTATTTCATACTGTAATTCTGCTACGGTTATGAATTATAGTGTAAATATCTGTGTTTCTGGTGATCTTAGGTGACCCCTGTGAAAGGGTCAACCCCTGAACCACTGTTTTATACAGGTTTTTTCTCGCTTATTAATGCCACAGGATCATTAATGATGGCTGTTTATTTAAAGGATGAAAAATGATATAAATTAATGGATACTGCTTGGGATAGGACAGGAAATAGAGCTGCCAAGACATCGTGAAAGCCTACCCCAAGTGTGACAGACACCCAGGGAAGGGTGGGTTGCAAGTGATTTGTGTGTGAGAAGACTGGGCATGGAGACACAGCTTTCACACCCCACCACTCAGAGAGCAGCAGCAGAGGCGTGAGAGGCTTAATGATGAGGGCTTGAGAAAGTGGTGGCGGCTCAGTCTAGTCATGCTGAGGGAATTTCAGGGCGGCCAATCCCGAAGGCAGAAAACTGGAAGCTTTACAGGAGCGATGAGTCGTCTACGGAGAGTTTAGCTGAATTTATGAAAATGGCAGAGGCAGCTACAGAGTAAAGAAAGGAGATCACAGGCTCAAAGAAATCAAGGTTACTGATCCTTGAAAAGGGGAGAATACTTTTCCTATGAAATACGTAAAACAGAAAAAGGTAAGTCTGTAGGACTGTTGAAGACGAGAAAAACCTTTCTACATGAAGAGGAAAACAGTTATTTTGTAGGGGAGAGGGTCAGTTGGTGTTTTTGAGACAGGGTCTCTCTGTGTAATCCTGACTAGACTGGAATTCACCAGGCTGGCCTCAAATTCCTTGAGATCAATTTGCCTCTGCCTCCCAAGTGCTGGGATTAAAGGCGTGTGACACATCAGGCTGAGATCAGGTTTTAATTAGATACTAAGCCTGATGAAAAGATTTTATTGTGGGAGATTCAACTGGAAATCATCAAGAGTTCATTAAAACCACTGGACCGAGACTTGTCTGGCAAGCATGGGTCCCGGGTTTGAGCCTTGGCACCCCATCAACCAGGCATTGTGATCAAGCCTGTAATCTCAGCACTGGAAGGTGGAGGCAGGAGGGTCAAGTCCTAAGTCACGCTCAGCTGCACAGTGAGTTCAAGGCCAGCCTGGGCTCAAAGAAAGGACTTTTAAATAGTGACGAAGATTCCATTAGAGATGGAACACAATTAAAACTGGGATGGGAACAGCCACCTCACCTTTGTGGCTCTTATAACAGGCACTAACAGCCACAGACAGCAGCAGGCTCGGGAACGAGAACAGAACAATACACAATACAACCTGTCCACTGACAAGACATCCTGAAGGTGTTGGCAAAAGCAACGTTAAAAAAGCAGGCCACAGGCTCTACACCAGGAAATAAGGTCATCAAACCTGGAAAGACACTAAAATGGCAGGAAAGGCGGCTATGTAAAGCTCAGACCAGCGTGAGGTTTGGGGGTAGTAAGGGGATGATGTTAAGAAAACATTCTTTGGGGGCTGGAGAGATGGCTCAGTGGTTAGGAGCACTGTCTGCTCTCCCAGACGTCCTGAGTTCAATTCCCGGCAGCCACACGGTGGCTCACAACCATGTGTAATGGGATTTGATTCCCTTTTCTGCAATACATGAAGGTAGAACATACATATAAATAAGTGAATCTTAAACAACAACAACAACAAAACCCACTCTTTGACATCTGAGGTGAGGCTAGAGCAATGCTGAAAGCAGAAAGAGACCAACAGGAGAGGGGGATCCTGCAGGTGCGATGAGGAACAAGTGCCGCACAAGCTTCTCTAGCTCTGTCGCGACAAGAACATGTAACTAGTAGAACTTAGGTAACTACAGGAAACTGATGAAAGGGAAGAAGCAGCAGAGGAGAAGAGAGCAATCCAGACTCCAAGGAACAGGCTGCTGAGTCCACTCCTCGGCCTTCAAAGAGCCTGTCTCACGATGCCTGACAGGATACATACATATCTATGTCTCGAGTACTCCAGAAGTAACAGTAGGAAAGGATGTCTCCCCCCATGAGTCTCTCCAGCAGTCTCTTCACATCGCTGGTATTTGTTGGCCACTGATGGACTACCACACTCCAGAGGAGAAGGAACTGCAGCTGACATGTGTGTAGCTGTGCCAACAGCAAGGTATAATCTCAGTTCACACCAGGACCGGGAAATCGGCCAGATACATCAGTGTTAATGATTGAAGGTGAAGGCAGAGCACTGGGCTACAGTCCAGACACTCTTTACCACACGCCCTGCCATGCGAAGATAGCACTGCCCACGCAAAAGCACACTCAGCGTCATCTTTCCAAATGTCCTGTCCTCTCTATTTACAGCTTAGAAAACACAAAGAACGTTCATATTACACATATTCATAAAACGCCAAAGCTATCAAAGTCTAAAACAGCTCAAAGGTTCTTTCCTTTCTGCTGTTTTCAAACCACGTAAGCTCCTTCTTACCACACTCTAAATCTGATTCTAAAATTGGATCAAAGTTGGTGCTGACTGTAAGCAGTTCTAGTAATGAAAGTTCTGTGGGCTTTTAAGATACAGAAGATACAGGACTCAGGGAACAGGAGGATCATGAGTTCCAGGCCACCATGGGCTGGTAAAGATCCTGCACCACCAGCCCACCAAAAATATTTTTGAACTGTGCCATGATTATGGTTGCACAAGAAGGTCATGGGGTTTGGAGGATGTGGGCCTGTCCTTGTATGCTCACCAAAGAGGTCAGTTCTGAACTAAGCTGTGAAAGTGAGCAAATGGCATTAAAGAGAGAGAGGGTGGGGGAGAGGAGGGTAGATGAAGAGAGAGAGAGGGAAGGAGACAGGGAGGAAGAGAGGGAAGGAGAGAGAGAGAGAATCATCCATAGGACTGCAAAGGCCAGGAAGCTTTAAAATGTGTTAAGGAAAACAAGCAAGTAAAGCACATGATAGATTTACATGCGTCCTTTTGCAGAGGTATCTAAGGGCAGGCTGCAGACACACCAGAGACCTGAAAGTCAGTTTAGCCAGTCAAGGATGAAATCTTATCTATCTCACTCAATGCAGTTAAATGTAAAACAAATATCTTCTAATTGGACCACAAGTCTGCCCAAAATATGCTATTTTCTTTTTGGCCTACCTAAACTAAAAAGAAACCAAGAGAAGTCATGAAAAGGTTTTTAAAAGGATACCTCAGAGTAATTCACAAACCCCTTCAACTTCATATTCATCGTTTCCACCCCTCAATAACCACATCATTAAATGCTGTTTTCTCTGCTTGGACTCTTAAATGACGGGAGATCAGTGTGCTGTAAGACCTGAGATGAACCTTACCAAATCAAGGCAACTTCTGGTGTAAGATAAAATAAAAAGGGGTCACAAAACACCAGTTTCCTACAATCCAAGACTAAAAATAAAACAAAATCCTCCATCTGCCACCAATGTAAGCTCTTTAGAGGCTACGCAAAAGCAAGCATTTTCTCTCTGCTAGAAGAGGCATGTGCTGCTTGTTACTCACCTTGCTCTGTTTCCTATTCTGAAGCTGCTAGGGCAGGGGTGGGGTAGAGACACCTTCTACCCTATTAGCAATGTGTTTCTGCAAAACATTTCAGTTCCAGGCTGGAACATGACTAAGAAATGCTGATTGACTAGGATTAGACACATGACCGCAGCTAAAGTGAAAAGCATTCTATTGATCCTTTCTCTCTTCCTGCCTCTCTCTTTCTTTCCTAGCTTCCTTCCTTCTCTTTCTTTCAACAGGATCATAGACCGTAGCCCAGGCTGCCCTTAAACTCTCAGTGATCCTCCTGACTCAGCCTCCTGAATGCTGTCACCATTCCGCCACTTAGCCACTGCACCTGAAATCTTATTGACCTCTGAATCTAGACTTCTTACAGCCTGAGGCTGAACTGCTGCAGCCAGTCTCAGCACCACAGAGGAAAGAACCAACCTGAAAAAGAAGCCTTCCTCAGAATGAGCAGAATCCACAGAGACGGGCGTCTGAGGCCCCACTAACATTAAGTACAAACTTCCTACCTAGCTCTATTTTTGTTTTTCTTGGCCTGTTTTGTGCTGAATTTACTTTCACCTTTTTCCTAACCAGTATTAACCAGGTGTATGTGGTAATACCAAATTCTATTCACAAGAAAATAAGATAAACTTGTCAGCATTTATCAATTATTATGTCTAGCTTTATAATTTGGTTTTATCAATAGTCCAATATTGATACAAAATATTTAAAAATTAAGCTGGCACATTTTAACAATATTTTACACTCAGAACTGCCTTACACTGTCTTCATTCCTGATTTAAAAAAAAAAAAAATCAGTATTTTCCCCTACAGAAAACAGGAAAAAAAAAATGCCTGTAACTTTGCTATATAACACTAAAAGGCAAGAACCATCAGCTCAGGACAAAAAGCTCCCTGTGTCACATCAGCCTCTCACCTGGAGCTGGAGAGTGTGCCGCAGAATGGTCTCCTCTAAGGCGTGGATCCACTTCTCTCGTTCATCTGCATCTCGAGCTGGAACAAGAGGGTAGAGGTCGTGTGTCATCTTTACAGACTCGTCTTAAACATCTGACTCCTTATGCAGATACAATAGCTAGCAGTATTACAAACCACTCACAATTTTAACAAAATGAATAACTGTGTTAATACCAGGTTACTTATGTCTCAGACCAACATTCTCTTGGTCAGCAACCAAAAAAGCTGGACTGATTATTTTTTAATTGCATCATTAACAGACAAGCGGGATTTTTAATGTGGTGCATATACACAGTGGAATACCATTCAGCCTTTAACAAAAACAAAACCTTATCTGTGGCACCACAGATGGAATGAGTGGAATAAGCCAGGCACAGACACACAGGCACCATACAACCGCGCGCGTGTATTGGCCTAACACAGCGGAACTCACAGAGGTTGACTGTAGGACACGGGTATGAGAGGGTGAGCAGGGAGGACGGAAAGGGTGGATTAGGAGGTGCTAAGTTACATGAGCCAGAAGCTAGCAGCCCTAGTAAGCGTCACGCTGTTGGGTGACAGTCGATACCAACAGCTAAAAGGAAGGGCGCTGAAAGTTTTTTACCATCAAGAGGTGATTATGTTTGCAGAAATAGGTGTACCTGGCCGGATTTAAAATAACACAGTGTGCCGGGCAGTGGTGGCGCTCGAGAGGCAGAGGCAGACAAGTATCTGTGAGTTTGAGGCCAGCCTGGTCTACAGAGTGGGACAGCTAGGGACACAGAAACACCCTGCCTCAATTAATTAACACACTATATGCATCAAGGCGTAACATCAGCCACCTGCAGAATCTCAGGATTTTGTGTATCAGCTAACATATAACTTAACCTACATAAACTTAAAGAAAACAGGTTGAAGTCACCATAAACCAAGGTAGTAAAGAATTACTGGTCACCGTCTCGTAAAGAGCAAGCATCTGGGGGAGAGGCCTGGTATTTGGGGATGCTCTCTGCCTGGCAGTGTCATGAATTCCTACAGAGGAGTTGTGTGCTAGATGACACACTTAAGCTCTGTCAGCGTGCCAAGGGCGGGACTCTATTTTCTGGTCAATTTTGAGACTGAACCTAAAAATCTTAAGAAATATTGAAGACTGGGGGCCCAATAGCACAGTGGTCCTCAGCCTGTGGGTTGTGACCCTTTGAGGGTTGAATGACTCACAGGGGTTACCTGAGACCATCGAAGGACAGACGTTTATATTCCGATTCATAACAGCAGCAAAAGTACAGTTCTGAAGCAGCAATGGAATAATGTTATGGTTGGGGTCTCCACAGCATCACCCGTACTAAAGGTCACAGCATTAGGAAGGCTGAGAACCACTGCATTGGCAGAAGCGACTCTGGCTAAGTAGGGGATGTCTTGATTGGGATCCCCAAACAGCTTCACTGTGGAACGAAGGATAAGTCTGGCTTAACACAACTGCTTGGTCATGTGCAGTCCAGGAAGATCTTGGTACCTGAACTGGACCAAAAAGCCCCAAATTATTAGTGACTGGAAACTGGCTAACAAAGCCAGTGATACCTCTCCTCTACAGAATGACAACCTCAGCTTGGTTGCCGACTGTCTGTCTGTCTGTCCGTCTGTCTGTGCTGGGATTAAGGGTTTGCACCACCATCACCCAGCACTGACTTGTGTTTCTATAAACAATTTTCAAATCTAGTCCTGCACACAAGCAACACAATCAAATGCACATACATGGAGGAGATTCTGCAGATGAAGCCGCACATAACTGAACACCAGGACCAAGAGGGACCCCAGATTATTTTATAAGTAGCCAAGCGATATGTTTTATTTTTATTCTTACTTTATCGTACATGATGTGTGGGCAGCTGCATGGAGGTCAGAGGAAAATTTTGTAGAGTCAGTTCTCTCTACCATTTCCTGTGCTTTTAAGGATTAAATTCAGGCCATCCGTGTGGCTCCTCATTTTATCTTTCAAATAGCCAAATATGAAGTCTCAAATTACAGTATTTTAAATATATAGAATAATAAAAATTAAGAACTCAATGTATGGGTTTAACAGCAGATTAAACACAGCTAACAAGACAGTTGGAACTAGGAAGGGATGAGAAGAAACAGCAGCAGCAGTAGCAGTCAAGGGATATGGAGTCCTCAGAGTGGGCTGCAGAGTTGAGGCCCAAGTCAGCACGCTGCTCTCCCAGAGGCCAAGCTCTGCTCCCAGTGCCCACATTGGGCAATGCATAACCACATGCAATCCCAACTCCAGAAGTGTGTGCGCCCTCTGCTGGCATGCTCGTACACACACTTTAAAGTACAGATAAAAGGGTTAAAAAAAAAAAAAGGTAAGAAAATGTAATATGCCCATGACTGGAATACCAAGGGAGACAGAGAATAGATGTGAACCCCCACTGAGGGAAGAGAAAAACAGGAATAAAAGCGGGGCATGGGAAAGGAAAAGGGCCATCTCTCCCCTGGATCCTGACTGCATCCCCAGTGGGCTGAGTGTAAGAGTTTTGGCAGCACCTGCGAAAGACACGGTAGCCCCTTTGCTAAAAAAGAAAACCTCATGAACAAGATTATGAAATATGTTTACAGTCAAAACACGACATGACGTCTAGGTAGGCACAGAGGTATGGGTTCCTGAGGAAATCTTACCATGACGATGCGTCATGCTGCCAGTCAAGACGTCTCATCGCCTACGACACGCATCCCTGACCTTTCCTGACCCACACTTTCAGATAATCAGCCCTACAGTGCACCTCAGATACCGATTTACTCGACTTCCTCTCCCATGGATAAACTTCAGTTCACCTCTCTCAAGAAGTCTGTACTTCCTCTTATACGTGTACGGTACCCTCAAAACACACACACACACACACACACACACACACACACACACACACACACACACACTTACACAGAAGCATGCTGCCTGTTTGTAATAAACCCCAGGCTTGCTTCATGCTGACTGACTTCCTGAAATCCTCTCCTGAGACCTGAATCAAGATCTTGACCTCACTTGGTCCCTACCGGACGTCCCCGGGGTCACAGCTGGCGATTCCAGCTTGTACTGCTCACTGGTGGTGACCCTACCTGGCTGAAAATTTTCAAAACTTGATAAAAGACCTTAAGCCACAGATTCCAGGAGCCCTCTGAATCCCAGGCAGGCTTAGTCACTATCAAATCAAATACTTGAGCAAACACTGAAGACATTCTCCATACTCCAGAATAAATGGCTGGATAAACCATTGAGAACTATGTAGAAAAAAAAAATATATATATATATATATATTTTTTTTTAAAGAATGATTTCTTTAGAGAGATTTCCAGACAGTGTTAAATAAGAACGCAAGTTGGAAACTCAGGTCTTGGATTCACTTTGAACCGATTTCTTTGTACAGGTTGGAAAGGTGGCTGTGGTTTCGTCCTCCTACAGTGGGTAACCTGTCAGCACCATTTATTGAGCACCCTGTCATTTTCCAGTGTATGTTTTGACACTTTTGCCTAAAATTAAGTGGCCAATGAGCGGCTCACGAGTAAAGGCATCTGGCATTCCAGCCCAGGGACCTGGTTTAATCCTGGGAGCTCAAGGCAGGAAAGAACCGGTTCCTGCAAACTGTCTTGTGACTGCAGCGAGCATGCTGCGCCACGGTCCATCGCACTCGGGGGAGGGGGTGGGCAGTGGGATGAGCTGCAAGCATGCGTGCACATCCTGTGACGCTCACTGACATTCTCGTGGGATAAAGACATCACTGGGTCAACTGTGAAACTGGAAAGCCAGTACCGATTTCCTTACCTTTCTAGTGCTAATAACTGCATTGCACATAGGTGGGAAATTTTCCATTTGCAGGACAACTTGCACAAGTTTATTTTCTCCTGCCGTGACCGTCCTGGGATCAAAGTCAGGTCACGGCCATCAGGCTTGGTGGCAAGTACCTTTACCACTGAGACATCTCACCAGCCCAAGACTGAGGTTCCTTTAATATAATTTTTAAATTTAAAAACAAACTCTATGCAATAAAACAACATAACCTAAATAAATGGAAACATAATATTCATGAGGAACTCCCATTCTATAATGTTCAATTTTAATCCAATTTCTAGATTAAATAGAATGCTAATTAAAATTCAAAAAGCATTTTTTGAGATTTGCCAACCTGATTCTAAAACGTTTCTAGAAATGCAGAGAATACAGACTAACACAGACCTTTCTAACATGAAAGAAGCCTTGTTGGAGAGTCTATGCCACATATGAAGTCATATGAAGTGGCAGTGAGAGAGCACAGGCAGTTACTTGCCAACCCTCACTGCTAAGCCTGCCCGCTTCCTTCGCCTGCTGTCGTCCGGGCATGCTCACCCTCTCTGAATAACCGCTCCTCCCCACACAACTGCTCCCAGACTTCACTGCTGAAGCTGTCTGCTCCCACCACCTCTAACCTCCCCTCAATCGCTCAGCTCCCTCCTGGAGGCCTCAGATCTGCTCGCTTGCCTGCCCTATGGTACTTTCCCCTCAAACGCCAATAAAACTGCCCTTGAGTTTCAAAATAAAAAAGAAAAGAGAAAATATGGGGTTAGAGGTGTAGCCCCGTTGATGGTGTTTTCCCAAGAGGCACTAAGTACAATCCCAGCATACAGAGGTGGAGTCAGGAGGATCCAAGTTCAAGGTTACCCTTGGACACTGGAACAAGAGTAAATAAACTGAAACAGATTAGGGCCTGGAAACAGGCGGGTTGTGTGTGTAGACACTTGATCTGAAACAAATGTGCACTAGTATGCAATAAGAAACAACTCTTCAGTAAATGCCACTAGAATAAGTACGAAGAAAAATAAAACCTGATCCTACCTTGTACTGTACAGAAATCAAATCCAAATAATCTGAGTTCCCAGTTTGACAGAAAAAAATAAATGTGAAGTAAAAGAGACTATCTTCATAATTTTGATGTAGAAAAAGAAGGGCTCCTAAGGGAGACACAAAACCCCTAATTATAAGGAAAAATGGCCTAAGCCTACCCCATGGTGTGTGTGTAGGCACGTGTGTAGAC